TCCACAATCACGTCATATTCGGCAGATTTAAATTTATAATCGTCACATGGATGTTACACACTTAATGGTAATTCATGTAAAAATAACGTGCGTCACGTTTGTTCAAAAGGGTTTGAAAAACATTTTTACTGATGCAATTTTTAAAGTTCGTCATCTATTCACGATATAAATGTATGGATGGATGTTTGTCAGAAAGTTACTCCAGACCGGCTGCATACATTTCGATGAATTTTATTATAGACATAGGACACAGTCCGGAAAAACACATAGGCTACTACGATCACGGAAATCTGAACAAAATCCGTCGGATACTTTTGATTTACATACTTACTCGATAACTTCGCAACAGTTCTACGCATTTTATTAAAATTTGAAGTATTATTAGTTTTGACGTAGATTCTCAACGGCAGGTTAAGACAGCACACTTGTATTGAAACATATTGTCATCCCCTACAGTCTCAGTGAAAAAAAAGAGACAACAAAAGTTGCAATACAATTATCGTGGTAATGTCATGACACACTGGGTGTATTCTACCATATTGTTAGATATACTGCTTTTCCTTGGAGACATACGGGAAGGTTTAATTGTTTTTCTACGAAAATAATTTTCATACATATCTTCTCTTTTATATATATTTTTAATATCATAAGGTGGCAAACGAGCGAGCGGCCACCTGAAATCGCATATGCGTTATTTACCTTTGACGGAGGAGAGGATGCACAGAAAGAAAATATTTTCCCTTTCCATGCATGCTCTCATCCGGGAAGTCCGCTTCCACTTCCCATCCTTTCCTTTCCTATAAGAAAAAGGGTGGGAAGGGAAAGAGGACTAAATTAGGCCTCCGGGACGCACACTCATCAGATGAAACGCGGAATTGCCTCCACTACGCCTATCTTCTGTGTGGTCGTGGTATTTCACCGGGCGAGCCGGGACAATTCGTGCGAAGATGTTAAAGCGGACTCTACCACTGTTAGAGGTACAGTTAGATTATGTTGCAATTAGTTATGGGTAAGAGGATATGCTTGTATCCATCAAAGCCCTGCGCATCTCAAATCACACAAGCAGTGAGTTGTAAATCAATGTCATCTCAACGATGGATAAACAATAGGCTCTCAATACATGTCAATTAATATTACGCAAGTGAATGAATCTATTGATAGAATCAATTATGAAGCGGCCATTTCAAATGATTACTATTCAGTTTATTGGATATCTTCCAAAACTTGCTTTCCGTTTAAGATTCTAAAAATATTTTCTTTTTAAAAAATGCATGCAGTTAATATAAATTTATTTTAATTATTGAAGAGGTATTTATTAAATTATAAGGTATATAGATTACGGATTGTCTTTTATGTAGTTAATTGTTTCCATGGTCAGCTAGTGAATTATACAAAAAATGTACTTATTTTAAATTATGCAATTCCGCGAGCATTATGACAATCTTAAAACATAATGACGTATAAGTCTAGACGTTTTTAACTAAGTATCGATCAGATATATGTAGATAAAATAGATATCATAAATATATGGCATTTATAAACAAGAAAGCAAATAGTATGCATGTAAATACGTTAAAGACATAGCTTATGTCAAAGTTCTATGGTTACTGTGTAGATACCGCGCGGACGGAGTCGCGGGCGACATCTAGTTTTTTTTTTATATTTGGAAAACTCCTCTTTCGTTTTGTTCTACATGCGGACGTTGTACTTATTTCAAGCAATGAATATGGATCAAGACATGACCTGTTTAGAATGAATTGATTTGTTTTTATCTTCGATGCTTTTTCTATTTTCACATGTCTTCATATTTTGAATAGATCGTTGACACTTCTCTTTTTTGGTGCAAACTGCACAGACTAAGCGCTGGCATATGTTTCTAATTTGACCTTGACGCGGGAGGGGACGGAGTCTACAAATGGGCGCGGTGGGGGGATGCAAGACCGCGCAGTTTTCGCATATGCACGACGTAATACGCAGTTTCAACCACGGTTGCATATTTTCCTGTTACGCGCATGAAACTTAAACAATAAAATGTGACGTATCCACCTTTACGTACAGTGAGAAATTATGTAAGTGGGATTAGCATCCGATTGCCGCAAACTTAGTAAGCGAAATACTAATTGGCGTCTCGCAGTAATTATAATGCAACTTGCATAAACTATGTGCTAATTTGTTTTCTAAGGTCGCTAAAATTGATAAAAGTTGTAAGGTTTACTTTGATTGGCTTCGATATGATTGATAAGTTTTGTTATTGTTATGAAGTAGGTCAGTGGTGTTTGCAATAAACCGATATTATTGTAAGCATGGCGGGAGTTGATCGCGCAAGTCCGTCGTTATGCTCGACTCACCTCGCACTTGACACCGTGCGCTTGCGCGGGCGCAGCGCGACGGTAGCGGCGGTCATGAGGGGCGCGCGGGGGGCGATGCTGTCACCGCGTTATCGCGCACTTACATAACCTATCGTAATTGCTTCGCCAGAGCATAATCACTCGCAATACAAACTGAATGCACTTTGTTTTCATTCAAACATTAGCTATCTATATTTTGTTGACAATACAATATTTTTCTGCCTCATACATTCAGTTTTGTATAAATTAGAATTAAAATTTATGACTAGCACCATCCTGAATTATATCGATCCTACTGTTTTCTCCATTTCGCACTTAAACAATTATTTTCAAAAAAATATTTTAAATAAACTCTCCTTCTACTCATTGTGTGATTTTATTTTCTATATAATGTTATTAATCACATATCAGTTTGAAGGTTCATCAAATTACATTTTACAAATATATATTTAGTAAACTGTATAATGGGGTTGTTAACCATGTTATAAACAATAATTCGTTAATTTTAAACCTAGTTGGTTAGTACTAGCAGTCACGCGGATTACTGTAAACAATTTAAATATAGACTGGAACACTAGAAGTGCATTTAGTCTCATTACACACTATATTCGTTGTGTATTTTTCTCATATAACGTTATAAAAGTGAGCATCGTGTCAGGCATTCACTTCTGCTGAAAAAGTGTGTGGGTCATTTCAGCCTCGTCTTTTGTACCAAAATTTGTAACATGTGAAAATCTTCCGTCTGTAAATGTCTATTTTTAAAGAAAATTACTTTATTTATATCTATAAATATGAATAATTGGAGGGTTTGAAATAAGGAAAAAGATAAATTTTTCATACACATGATGTATTTGCGATAATGAAGAGCCAATTTTATTTTCTGTCGTCTATTTGTCCGCAAGGTTGCATTTATTCCAGACAATCGGTTAATATTATAACAACTTATTTTTTTTTTAAATTCACCGCTGACGAAGACGCGTTCGACCGCTAGTCTGCGATAAAAATAGCAACAAGTATCTAAACAAACAACAGCAAGTGTCAATTATCAAGAACGGATCAAGGTTAGATTAATGCCAAGGCTACTTGGACGCATATTCACATATAAAGAAATACATCGCGGATTCAGACTCCATTCTTTTCTCCCCTTCTCCCTATCTCTATTACATATGTGAATTTACACCCGTGTATGTTTTATTCTATCCATTCAATTTTTTTTTAATTACAAATAATAACAATGACTAAAATATAATTGATTTCTTTTATGACTTTGGTACGAGTTGCAGAAGTGGTCTGTTTTGTTTAAATCTATTAATGACAGAAAATTTTATTACACAGTTAAATATCTTGGAAGTATTATCCTTAATTTACTATCTCACTATCTAATCAACAAAATAAACTGAAAATTACAATGTCAAGAATATTGTTATTGTTATTCTTTGAAATGTAGTAATTGCGTATTTTCTACAATGCATCCTGCACATATTGATTCAATTAGTCTTAGTATATTCGCGTGAATCATTGGAAGAAAACAATAGTGGCCAGTACTTTACGCGGTTCTAGATTTTATCGGTAAGTGTGTCAAAGTGAGCAATGTCAGGGACAACACTAATCTATAGGTGTGTAGGTGCATTGCGCGCGGAATACATTTACCTAATCATAATGTTCTGACAACGCACTTGTTTATGTCACCGATCGATTGTCATTTTCAGCAGTTGATAAACGTATTAGAAATGTATTTAAATTCGTAAGAAATAATTAATAATTTAAAGAGACATTACCTACTATACATTTTGTGAACTGTTATTGTCAAATTACAAATTAACGTATTGATTGCGTTGTTACGTTGAAGTTTAAATTAGATGTAATTTTATGTAATGTTGTTTGTTAGGTTGGATTTGATAGTTTTAATTATACAATAAAATGTCTTGATCATAAGCGAAATCTGCTTGTAGCGCTTATGACAAGTCAAACTGTTAATGAGTACCGTGCATTCTTTCCGACAATACGTGATATGTGTAGTCAGATTTAAATTAACGAGATTCACAATCTGGCGGTAGCAGATCCATTGTGAGACTGTACGCAGCGTGTGTGCACGTGCGCCTGTTTGCTCTTTACTTTCTTCATGTTAAGGAAAAGGTATTTTCTTTTTTATAATTATGATTACAATAATATATTAGGCATTTCCAAAATATATTACATCTCCCTTGTTTTAACATTTTTAGAATCTGAAATCAAACTTCGGTGTTTGATAAATATGACTAATACATCAAGTATTGTATGTAAACATTAGCTTTGCGGTTTTTTATGGTGTAACGTCAAATGGCCACTCCGGACATAGTTATGGAGAGCGTCCACTGTCGTAACACCTGTATTACTATAATATTTTCATCCTTTTCGTTCTCTTTGAAAAAGCAGAGATAACAAAAATTTTTACAGGAGTTTTTATTGCTAATGCAAGCCTTCTTAAGCCAAGCGAAAACACTTCTCGCTGGAAAACAAACGCATGCGCAGATTTTAAAAAGATGGTTAATTTTAGTGATATCAAATATATTATTTGGCGAAATTACTCGTGACACATATCAAATCAATATAAATTTGCTTGAAATATTATAGTGTGTGTATCGGAGGTTGATTTTGAATATTATTTTGTGGGGCGAACACGAGCGCGGCATCGGCGTACGAGCTGACAGCGGGCAACGGTTGTGAGGGCGGGGCCCTACTGGCGGCGCACACGCCCGCCGACACCACCTCGCTTCCACTCGCGACCCACCAAAATGACCCGCGCAAGAGGAAGAACCATCAATAGTGAGCAACAATTCTGTTTGCTATTTGTTACATGTGCTTTTTATGCTACTTTGTATATTGCGCTTTAATTTGTATTTTTTCTTTTGGAATTGAAATATTTTCGTCATGTATTTTGGAAAAAGAAATTATATGCAATAAATATACAGCGTATACAGAAATGACGGAGGATTCAATCGAGTTTATTAAATTTATTTATACTGTTTTCCTGGCTCCATATTTCTAAGGTTCACGCATTGTCGTGCCGTATGGACACCTTGACTAACCTCAATTTTAATAATTTAAATGAAATTAAAAAACTCAGCAACTGTGGATAAAGATATGTTGCGTTTGGTCATATTTTAATCCAAGGAATGTCTGATCTCTTGTCATTCATATAATATCTGGACAACTTATTTATTACCCGACTGACAAAGAGATGTTTTTAAAATGTTTAGATGTTTTTTTATTATTAAAATTTACAACACCTTTGCATGTCGCTTTTGTTATCGGGACTTTTGTTTTTACGTTAGGTGTATTGTGGTTACATTATCGAGATTAGGCGAATGATTACCAAGCAACGACCTCTGTCCCTGAATCAAATTACCAAGCCGGTAAAGTCGGTGAAGTTCGCAAATTTTACGGCAAAAAGTTGTTTTTTGTTTCGATGATTTTTGTCTTGCTTTTCACACACGCCTTCCAGCTTTACATCATACGATCGGTGATAATTTGCTAGAATATTTGTTCTTACGATAGAGTTGAATTCCAATGTTATAAAAAGGGCAAGTCTCGTGTGTCTGGCCATGTGCTTTGCTTTGACGCATCATTTAAGATGTTGTTCGGATCTTTATTGATCAATTACGCTGCAGACAAGGAACGCATAACTGTCAGAGGAAGATTCCTAGTCGTACATTATATTTTCGCTTGTAAGATAATGTGGTCTTATGGCGAAAAATATATTGTGCTTTTACTAACCATAGTGAAATTGTGAGAAAATATGGAAGCACTTGATTGATTCATTGAAGAAGGCCATTCAAGAACTTTCAAGCTAGGTTTTTGTATTCTTGGTTAGTCTATAAGTTGGTTCATGCAAGCAATGGATGTATTTTAACGTTACATGTCTGTTTTGCTAGCACGGAGAGCTACGAGATGGCCAACTGCGAGAATTCGTTGGCCACGCCTGCGACGTCGACGGTCACAGTACTCGACAACGCAACAAGAAAACGAAAACCTTCATCGTAGTAAGTATTGCATTATATATGCACACACACCCTGTTACACAATTCGTCTACACCTACTTTTTTGATAGTTGTCGCAATTATATTATTTTAATATCTGTTTTCGAACACCCTGTTAATTTAATATTAAGCTTTCGTTTTACAAAAAGACGTTGCTTAAAGCAAATAAATGTATGGCATAAAATTAAATTTATTAAAAAAAAATTGCAGAATACTTTCTGCTCTCTCGCGCCCAAATTTGTTCTTGATGCACGTCTTTTCCAAACACCTTGTATATTTATTTACAAAGGTTCATATCAGCAATCCGATAAGCGTTAAAACAGGGAAATCAACTTTGTTTGAAGTTATGAAGGGAAAGTTCAAAACTTTTAATTGATAAGTTTGAACATTGATTCGACTTACTTAACTTTTTTAACTTGTTGAAAGGCAGTAGTCCAAGGATAAGTTCGTATTTCAAGGTGACTACATTTGGTCAAGGAATTTCCGTGAATGAAAGAATATGCTTTAAGTGTTAAGGCGATCTAACTTAGTTAGTTTTGTAATCATTGGTTTTTGACTACAAATACATTTTTGGATAAAAAATAATTCGTTCTTTATTACACACGAATTGATAACCTCCTTCTTTTTGAAGTGAACTAAAAATGCTTCAAGTTGATCCCACTTAAATATAATTATATAAGTTTACCAGTTACTTTTATCAAAAGTTTTGTGTAGTTATTTTATTCGAATTAACCATGATACTTTTAACAACCTTACAAAGACTTCTGAGGATGAAATCCGGTTTAAACATAGGTGGTTTTTACCAAAACAATACTGCTGGTAATTAGGATGACAGTTGTGTGAAAAAACAAACAGGCGAATTAAGAACCTCGTTTTTTAAGTCAGGTAAAAATATAGCACCATAAACTTTGGTTGACGGCGACATGACAAAATTCTAAAATATCAAAGACACATTAATACTTCATGAATCATTGTTTTTCCTGTTTTCGTCTGGACATCTCATTATATATTCAATATTCATTTATTCCACAAACTAGTATGCAATTCTGGAACTTGCTAGAATATTAGGCGGCCAAGGTAAAACAAAAAGTACAATTCGTTTTTTTTATAGGAGAAGGAAACAAAAGTTGCTTTAGCATCATCATTATAAGTTGCTTACCTAAATATCATTACAATAAAGCTGTAAACAAACAATTAAAGCAATTAATTACTACCTAAAGACTACTGAAGGCTTATAGGGTTGTCAAGATATATATAATTTCAGAAAATATTAAAGTATTTTTTAAAACTATTGTAGGGCTCTAAAATATATTTGGCTACCAACATTATTTAATCGATTGTATTGCCAAGATAAAATTAAAACGATTGCTCCAACTGACTAATGAATTGAAATTAAATTAAGTTTTGGCAACCCTAAGCATTGGTAATCGGTTGCCTATGGTAAACGTGGAGCAAACCTTCGCTCCGCAAAAGCCCACCTGTCCTATTACCTTTGAATGAAACGTATTTATCCTTTGAATTGCGTCTAGAGAAATATCATCCTCTATTTGTTGCTTGCTATTTTGCTTACAACGCTTGCAAGTCCCCTTATCGTCGCATCGAGATAAAACCTCGTCAATTGAACAAATATAATTTTAGTTAGAAAATAATGAATCCTTCTATAAAATATTCATTGAAATAGTTTGTAGATTTTAGCTGCTAAATTTGAGGTTATATTAGTTTATGGTTAAAACCTTAATAATACCACTACACCTCATAGGGGCTTGCCGCGACATCTAGATTCGTAGAGATAAATCCGTTCAATTTAGCCTGTAGTCCTCCAATAGGACGTTGGCCGCCTCCATTAATCGCCACTAGAATTGCCCAACACAATATCAGTCCTGGTTATCCGCGATTGTCTGAATCAAATGATTGCAGATTGATTGCGTCACAATAAGGCGAGATACGCCTTTTATTTTCAATAATATCGAACTTTAAATTTATTTCATTAAATGCATAAATTAAGTTTTGCCTTTTCGAAATCGATAGTAATGTATATTCACTACAAATTTAAAGAGATTTCCCATAAGTCAAATCAGCTCGATGTACTATTGGGCTGTTAAAGTTTTCCTCTAATTTGAAGGATACGAATCGAAGACTTATAATTACTCGGCAAACTTGTAACACGATCGTCCCGTGGGTATGTTTCTCAACCTTATCCTTGTTATCGTTACTAACCAAAATCTTACCTTGTTGCGGCTCGTGTAGGGGACTATCGCAATCACGAGACCATAGAGAGTAATTTTTTCGGGACAAAAGACTATATTTAGAATCCCGGCAATAAGGTTTTTTAATTTAATTTTTTCTTCTTTTTGCTACATCTTGCTTATTTGCATATTCATTTTAGATATAAAAAACAAAAGCTATTATATTTACAATATTGACTGATGCATATAGATAGATGGGAGTTTTTTTTTAAATTAATATTTTCATTTTTCAACAGTGGCACGGCAAGCGCCTACGATGACGATGGCACAGACGATACGCGTTCCACAAGAACAATGCCTGATAAAAAGTAAGCATACACACATCATACTTAGCTTGGAAGCTTGTTAAATACATTTTTTGCAGACTCTATTTCTGCTTTAAACGTACAGTCAAAGAATTAAATTTGCTTAATACTTGGGATAGAATAAGTGACTTATGAGCATCATGAAATAACAGTTCACCTAAATAAATGTTACCGACGGTACATTAAAAAGTAATTGGCTAGTAGTATTTATCATTTATCAGTTAGCAACTAGCCAGTATCATTTATGAATATTTTAATGCTTTGTGGCCTTTGATATTTTCTTACGAAAATTCGTAATGATGTCGCAGTTCGATGCAGGAGCCTAACGAGGTACAACTCTATAAATAACAAAACTTACGTATAAGGGCAGAGAAATGTAAAGTTCCAATGTGTTGCTTTGAATGTCAAGTATGTACATGTTAGTTCGTAGTTAGCTTTCTACATATAAATCCGTTTATCATTTTCCTTTGATCGTTTCATTTAAAATTATACAACAGAAGCGTAAATTTTTCATTTATTATCATAACAAATCTTTACGTCCCCGGTTTAATTAATGTAGGTCCTTCGCAAATTCATCCATCCATTCAGCATGCGGCCGTCCACTGCTCGACATGGACCAATTAATTCCAATGATAGGTTACACGTTGCGCTAATTCAGTAACAGATCATCGGTCCTTCTTGCTGTCCCGAGTCCTACTTACACTGGATATATCTTAACCACAGTCCACTCTGTAGGCAAAACCACAGCGAGATCGAGAAGCGTCGTCGCGACAAGATGAACACATACATATCAGAGTTAAGCGCAATGATCCCGATGTGCGGTGCGATGTCGCGCAAGTTGGACAAGCTGACGGTGCTGCGTATGGCGGTGCAGTACTTGCGGTCGGTGCGGGGGGCGCTCTCAGCCGGACCCCTCACCGCGCGCCCCCGCCCCGCCTTCCTGTCGGAGCGCGAGCTGAACGCGATGGTGTTACACGCGGCGCACAATGCATTTCTGCTCGTCGTCGGCTGTGACCGCGGACGATTGCTATACGTGTCTACTTCGGTCAGCAGAATGCTACACTACGATCAGGTCAGTCGATCTCATTTTTTATTCCATATATTTATACTTCTAGATATCACTTACAGGTCACGGAAAACAAAATAAGCAGTAAGTAAAGTGTAGGGAGCTTCCGTGATCCATTGCCAATAATCTTACTTCTTACTTAATATTATAAATGCGAATGATTAGATGGATAGATGGATGGATGTTTGTTTGAAGGTATCTCGGGAACGGCTCAACGGATCTCGCTGAAATTAGCCATAGATGAAGAACATAGTCTGGAAGAACACATAGGCGTGACTTTATTTTTACTTACGCGCGGACGGATTCGCGGGCGATAGCTAGTAACTATAATGATTCGTGTGATAGATTACTCTAGCGTCTCTTAATATTTCAATTCATTAAGTATAATTTTAAGGTTAAGAATATAAATACAGGAATTTACATTTTTGGAATGTTAAAAAGAAAACAAACAAGCAATTTACATAAAATTGTTTGAAATGTCCTCTTTAAGGTTTCCTGTTCTGTATATACATAAATTACATAATTGTATATAATTTCTAGAAATGGTTATATGAATAATTGCTAATATTACGGATTAAATTTAATTTACACCATACATATTAATTAGTAAAAAGTAAGGAATCAACGAAATCGCTATTGGGAGAAGAAAAACTCACACTCATAGAAATCTGAAAATCTTTGAAAGGAGAATTCAAAAAATATTTTATACGTAGTAGCGACATCTAGTATATTGTTTTGAAATTACCACTTGAGTTTCTAAATGCAAATGTTAGTAAACATCGTCAAAAGATGTCGCTACTCTTTACGTTTGAAAACATATATGCACTTTTGTCTTGTTTGTTTTTTTTATTTTTTCAAAACTATAAGGATAAAACTTGTTTATGAGTTTCTTATACTGTTTTGATTTAAAAGCGTTAAAGAACTGGTAGCCATTAATTATGCTGTTCATTAATCAAAAAAATATGGCCTATACTTCCTTTTTAAGTGCGAAAACCTAATAGTTAATTAAATTTAGTAATAGAAACTCATTAATTTATTTAATAATGCATAGATATGCACATACACATACAAAGTCACGAACCACAGCTGTCGTTCGTGACTTTGTACTCCTGGAATTAAAAAAAATAGTAGCCGATGTGTTCTTCCAGGCGATGTTCAACATCAATGCCAAATTTCAGCGAGACCTATGCACCCGTTCTTGTAATACCGTCAAACAAACATCCATACATGAACATTTTAATTTATAATATTAGTAAATATAGTACAGTCCAGATCCAGACAAGAAGACGTCGTCGTTTTTTGCCTGGGATACCAGCACAAAAATATGAATATACGCAGTTATCCTATAGCAGGTTTCAATTTTGGAAACCTTTTTTTTCGATTTATAAATATATATTAAAAAATAAAATTATTTTTATCAACTAATATTAATGATTGAAAACGAGATGGGTGACAATGATTGGTAGGGTCGCACTATTTTTTCTGTATTCTTATTTATTTACTATAAATAAAGTTTAATTAAATCTAGAAGGTGAGAAGAATTTTATATTTGTAGAGTTAAGTTCATGCAGTTTTTTCAAAGTAAGACTCAAAAAACATTACTCAAATAAGCTCTTTGTCATCTGTGTCAACTGGCAACTCCTTGACGTTTAGTTTTCGATCAATAATTCCTTACTTTGTGATAGTGATTCATTCCGCAATTAAAAGAAAAATTAAAATGCCAGCACCACAGCAAAATACACAAAATAATCCTCAAGGAAGTGCGCCGCTTTCAAGAGAAATGATTCAATCAGAGCATATGAACAAGAAATTAATGGCTAATCTCCTAAAAAGCTTAATCAAAGGGGGTGATCCAACGATAGCGAAAATGTTTGAAAAGGAGAAGGAAACTGAAGGAAACGACGAGAGGAAATGTAGCTGCAACCCAAATCCACAGTAATGTAAACTCGCCCATGAAACTAATATTTGATTAATCTACAATATTATACCTATTACAGTATTATCTTATATTGTAAGATGTATCAATATAAAATATTAAAATAATCGTAAACCTTTATTTTTCCCGTTTATGAAATATTCACGAGTTTGTGATGATTATTTTAACAATTTTGATTTTATATCCGAAACTAAGAACCTTTAAAAAATCATATTGTTTAACTTAATAAGGTTTATTAGACTAGATTCATGATTTACCATGGGTTTCTGACATCAAAATATCTGTATAAAACATATTGTCATCCCTGTAATTATCTTTGAGAAAACAAAAAAAAAATGGGGATTTTGATCTCGGAAAGTAATGGTAAGGTACTTTATATAAAATAAAACATCTCATTGTATAACTATTTATTTTTAATTATACTTAAACTAGTTACAAATATATTGGTAAGATTTTCTTATTTAATAACAATAAGATTTTGCTGGGACTCTATCTTCTTTGATACCCATTTCAAATGTTGCCAGTTCTAGCTAAAATGTGATCTGAAAAAAGTATTAAAAAATAAAATAATTTATGTTGTCTTTCATTTCACAAGTGTCTAAAATTAATCCTTATGAGATGATTAAACATTTTAACTATTAAAATTACAATAAAATAGTCAATTCTCATCTAATCTCTCTCCCTCTCTAATGTTCTAATATCTCCATCACTAGAACTACCACTAGTATTGCATATAGTCATCCCTTTTTATTCTCCTTGACAAAGTAGAGCCAACAATATAAACATTCCAAACCAGGATTAGTGCAAAACCTCTACAATCGAGAGTCAATATCCAATTACAACCTCCATGAGCAAGAAAATTGGGTCAAAGGAACCTCTATAAGCGAGAATAATATTATTCAACTGTATTAATACAAATGTCAATGCAATCTAAATCCACTGTAATGTAAATGCGCCAATGAAACTAATAATTGGCTAACTGTCGGTTTTTGAGACGAAAATCTTTGTCTAAAGCATACCATCATCACTTTATTATTTTTGCCAAATGGAGATAACAATTAGGTTTAAACGGAAACTTCGGTCTCAGAAACCCACATTACATATTATATTTTTATTACATTGACACATATAATGAATGAATTTTCAGAAACAGAAATAATTGTATAAATAATATGCATTCAGTATTATACCAGTGGAAATATATAACAGTACAGTGAAAACTAACCTTTGTAACATCAGCGGCTGCAGTGTCTTTATCTTTGTTTTCTACAACAATATAATATAATACAATGCCTTGCTTTTAAAGTCCATAGTTTCTTCCGCAGCTTTTGGTATACAAATTATTCTGCTACTTGAAAGAGATACTTAGTAAAACCTGTCCCGGAAAACTATTTATTAACATTTATGTAATTAAAATAAAATGAAGAACTGTCTTAGTTCATTTCTAAACATTTTTACTAATCTATCAAGAAACTTAGTTTGTCTTACTAATATTATAAATATATAAATGCGAATGTCTAGATGGATGGATGTTTGTTTAAAGGTATCTCCTAAACAGCTCAATGGACATTTATAAAATTAGGCATACATATAGAATATTCTCTGGAAAAATACATAGCCTACTAATTAAGTGTTATTAATATATCAGGGAATCAATTTCAATTGTAATTGTTGCAACCTATCAATTAGCAATTTAGGGAGAGTCCAAATCATAGATTCATGCAATCCTTCGTTTAGGGTTGTGGATATTTAATCTTTTAACAAGGTAATTATAGAATGACTCTTTGTGCTTGTATTCAATTAACTGATTAATGTTAATATTTCAGTCGGAGTTACTTGGACAGAGTTTATTCGACATCTTACATCCCAAAGATGTGGCGAAGGTGAAGGAGCAGCTCTCCTCGTCGGACCTGAGCCCGCGGGAGCGACTTATTGATGCCAAAAGTTAGTATTATCTTTGACTACTTCAAATATTTTACATTGATGTAAAATGTAATCAATGCTATGTTAATCTTACTTATTAATTTGTGTGTAATTCTTTACATCTCTGCGAACGAGAATTATACTTGTTTTTAATGTTTTTTTGCACTGCGATGTAACTGTATTAGCTTTGGGCAATGCGATTTCGGCAAACAACAATATTTTCTTTTTAACTATCTGATGCAACTCTTCTTTTGAATTATGTTGTCCAGTTGTTATTGTTTTTATTGATAATCGAAGTTCAGTATTATTTCACTTTAATACTTTGTATTATTTCGTTATTGCAATTATTTGCAGTCAATAAATATTTATAAATTTCGAATATAGTTTGAGATAAAATTGTCAGTTTAATATATATTTTATAGATATGTTATTATACGGCCTATATATCTGTTTATTTGGATCCTACAAACTGCTCTTGATTAGGTTCATTATAAATGTTGATTGAAGATTTTAGTTTGTTCAAATTAATTTCAAATAACATAAAAATATATAGATTTTAGACATATTGTGATATTTCATATGTATTTTTGCTACTTTTTGTGTTTTATATTTTGGCGAGCGATCTGATGTCCCTAGCTTTAGCCATTACTGAAATATTAAGCTGCAATACTAACTACTGATTGGTTACATATTACATGAATAAGTTTATTAATTGCGAAATATATGGCGTATGTTTGTATCCGTCGTTCAAATCGTATACCATATCCTAGCTCATGCATATTTTTCATACAATGGAGCGTTTTTAATTCTGAATATGCTTGACATTTGAATGTTTTTGTTGTGTTTTATTGATGGTGATTCAGTGACTAAGTATGTGTACAGCGATGTTACCAGTGAAAGCGGACATGGTGGCGGGGGCGTCCAGGCTGTGCCCGGGGGCGCGGCGCTCATTCTTCTGTCGCATCAAGTGCCGTGCACTCACCTCGGCTTCCTCAACACCGCCAGCCCCAGGACCCACGACACAACAGTCCGCTGGACAGGTAAAGGAGGAAGGAGAAGGCAGCTCCAAGATGAGGAAGAAACAAAACGAGAAGAAATATTGCGTTGTACAATGTACAGGTAAACAAATTCTCTTTAATAATGTGAAGGATGAGTTGATTTATTCTTAACATATTTTTTTTAGTAAAAAGTGACTGCCTGGCCATGACTACAACCGCACAGAATTAAAAAAAAAACATAAATATAATACATCCAAACATCAGTCAATAAAGACACAAAGAACAACATGAAAGGGCACTTGAGGAATATGTTTGGCGAAATTCTTAACATCTTCAGATTATTCCATGTGCTAAGAAATAGCGGGACCAATTCTAAAAAATTGTTTTATAAAGATTACTCGTATATAAATAAATGTATATATAACGTATGAAGAAATAAATAAATGTAATATAAATATGAATTAGGATATCTCAAGTCCTGGGCACCGGCGGAGCTAGAGGGTGGTAGCACTACGGGTGATGGAGGGGAGGACGGGGAGGCAGGTAACATGTCGTGCCTCGTGGCGGTCGGACGTGCACTACCAGACCTCTCCCCGACTCTTGGACAGCAAGTACCCATTCCAACCCAGTCTCCTGCGAGATGCTTGCAGTACATCTCTAGACATGCCACTGATGGAAAGTTTCTCTTCGTCGACCAGAGGTAGGAGCGGTATTCAATAGCTGATCAAATATCTATGCCTCCTTGAATTAACAACCAAATTAATAGGTTAATGTGGAGTAAAATTGTATTTTGTTCACTATAACAGGAACAGTACCACTAAATATACCACTTATAAAAACATATACAAAGAACACTTTAGACTGTAGACATAGCGACAATTTCCGTCAAATTTCACTAAAAAATCCAATAAAGAAGTATTTATTTCAAGATATTTTATAAAATAATTATAACCAAAAATTTAAAAAAGAAAACATAATTTTAAATCGATATAAACAATTCTCATCTCTCAACTCATGACAAGTAACAGTCCACTTTTGACACTATCGTCATCTTCATAGTACCCTTAGTTTTCGCCCCATTAACAACTGCCGACAAAATACATGCACATACACCAACTTCTTGATTTACAGAAGAATATCCATTCATTTTATAACCGTTTATATTTTTCTTTTACACATCTACAAAATTGGTCGGTTCAAGTAATACAAAATAACCTTACTAAAACTAGTTGGTAACGTTTGCAAACTTTACCTTATTTCAGGGTAACCCTAGCTCTAGGGTTCCTACCCCAAGAGTTACTCGGCACCAGCCTTTACGAGTACGTGAGTGCACCAGAACTGGGCGCAGTCGCGCGTACGCACAAAACTGCGTTACTACGTCGTGAGCCTGCGCACACCCCGCCATACTCCTTCCGGCGTAAAGATGGCTCTTTAGCAAGGATTACAACGCATTTCAAACCATTTAAGTAAGTTAAAAAAATATATTTTATTCATATGCGATGCTACTCGGTGTACTTATAAAAGCGTGTTTTCCAGGAATCCTTGGACTAAGGACGTGGAATGTCTCGTCGCTAACAACACTTTGGTGGCAGAATCGTACACACCGCCACAACAAGACGCACAAGACTCATACGATGTCTATAAGCAGAGTGAGTACACACACACATACTGTTGTCTCTGTTATTCTCAAAGAGAATTTAAGAGATGACAATATGTGTAGACAAAAATGTATCACTTTATTCTCTCAATAAAACTGTAGAGGAATCATACAAACATAACTAATCCTAGTTTCATAAGTGGGAGATGCAGAGCAGTACAGTTATTGTTTTTGTTTGTAAAATAATTTCTATATGCTTTTTGTGTATTTAACAAGTTCGTTAATTAATACTAAATATAATATTAAAAGTTGTCTTGTTGATGATACGTCTGTGTTATTTGATTACGTTTATTTTAATGGTCGTACGCTGCTGCGTATTATATACTAACCACATTTACTAACAATCTATACTGATATAACTCACTAACAAATAAGCCAAAATTAAAAACAACCAAGTCTCAGTGATGGAAACTTTCTTTTTGCATAAACATTTGCTTTACTAACGTTAATTCGTGACTAATATATTTCAACATTGATATAAAAGAACAAAATAAACTATACACGTACACAAAGGTAGCAGCGCACGAGGCGAGGTGGAGGCGAACGTGCATCGTTTCTTTCACAGAGACGGCGTCGGGCGCGATGTATCCTCGCGACTTAGCTACTGCGATTTCAGAGGGCGATGCTGAGATGCAGCGACTGATCGATTCTCAAGTCGAGTCTCACAAAATAGGCAGCGCGATCGCTGAGGACGCACTGCGCAGATCCTCCACTGACTTCTCACCTGAACTGCCAACTGACCTTTTACAAGATGCTGTCTTCAATCAGCAGGTAAGCGCACTTGACGGCAAATATTAAAGCGACGTTGTTTACGTCATACAACCGTGACAACGTCTTTTCGGCTGTTTGACTTGATAAAAATATATTACTCAAAGACATTGTTTGGCCATACATACCTCTCCTTGTATTCCCGAGCGTGTCCATTAGGTATTATAATAATATGTCTTATTTCTAGCAAGCCGCCCTCATGGATAACATCCTCGGCGTGGACATGGGAAACTTTTCACAAATAAGGAATAATGTGACACTTAGTGCCGCAGGGGCTTCCGAGTCCCCGCCGCCGAGCGACCCCGCAGGAGATCTCTCCCCTTCCACACCGCCTCCTATCTCACCCCCTCTACCGTCTCTCGGCCTCGATGGCAACGGGGAGGCTGCTATGGCAGTCATTATGAGCCTTCTTGAAGCAGACGCTGGTCTTGGAGGTCCTGTTAATTTCTCAGGACTCCCTTGGCCGTTACCATAAAAGTCTTGATTATTATTTTTTTTAATTTCTTTTATCTGAAGGTGCCTTCAGTAAAAAGAAATTATTTATAACATGGTATTACATAATATTTATAAAAAGAAAATATGCATATATTTTTCGTAATGTACAAAAATTTAATTGTAAATACAGTATGGATAATCATTTAAAATGCAGGTATATTTTACGACTATTGTCAATTAGATGCGTTGCATATAAATGTATTAGAAGTTTTGTGATACATTAATTTAGGTGCTTATAAATTCTTCCTTGATATATAAACGGGAGCTAAAAATGCCGTGACACAATATCTTCATGTAAATGTGGCGTCTAATATATAACGAGTATAATATTTAAGCTTTAATTTACGATGTATTCAGTTGATTCTTATATACCTGTCATAGTATCATTATATACACATTTGTATATAAATGTATTTTCAATATATAAATGTATTTTAAGTTTACATTTGTTCTGTCTTATATTTTTTACTTTAGGAGTTTTATGACATAGTTTATTAATGTTGAATAATTTAAGTTTTTCGTTATTTTTCTCAAAGAATCAATACATAATATATACACCATTGCCCATTGCCTTCATTTTTTTATAAACTAACTTAAAGTGTTTATTTTTTAATAATTAAATTGGACATATAACTAAGTCAAAAGATTTTTTAAAATTAAATATTTTTTTAGATTTTAATGTTTAAGCTTATCTAGTACAATAAAAGCTTCATTACAATATCCCAAGTGGTTGTAAAAAGGGTCAAATATACATTTACAATTTAAAAAAAATTGTACCTCGGGAGATAAGTTGGATATTAAATGTCTATCCATTCACTGGTGGATTTTGACTGTAGTAAAACTTGTAATATACATGTTGCCAAATTATTTGAATACAGGTGTCGCAACAATCGAAACTCAATCACATTATAATCTGTTCATTTTGTGAATTTAAATCGTTGTGTTTTGCTGCGTTGAAAATTTTAGTTGCATATTTTTTATTTACACGTAAAATTACAATTTTTTTTTTAGTATTATTGGGTTTGTTCTATTTCGTTGTCTCATAACACTTGTTATATTGCCATCCCGCTCTTTCTTTTTGAAAAGGACAGAGATAACTGTTCTTAGGTGTAGATGTAATTCACGGTTATTGGAGAAAATGCTCTTTTGTGCCATTTTCTATGAGTGTGATTTAAATAAGTTTCTTAAATATCAAGTACATTTAGTAAGGTTTAACACATCGTAGTTCATTAATGTAAAAATATTACAGCTAACTGTGGGTTCCCACTGCTCAAATATTTAATACGAAAATATATCGTTATCCTTGTTTATTCTAAGAGAATTTGAGGGAGGACAATACGTTGTACTATCTGCAGTGGAAATCGACGTTTATTGCGTATCACAACTAGTTTTAAGTACAATTAATGTTACCATGCATGTATTTCTAGTTCATTTACATAGATTGTTTTTCATTGTTTTGTACAGTTCATTGTAGTTTATTGAAATTTGGTGTTAAAATGGTATAATTTTACAACGCCATCTTTTGGATTAATTCCGCTTAATACCAAATCGGTTATTTTTGGATATGATTAAAAACATTGGCTGAACCTTATTATAGCTTAATCAGGAATATAAAAACTATCGTCACATTTTGGTAAAATATGGAACTAATTCTTTTGCTACAAAGTAATGTAATTAAAAACGATTCAAGCGACCCCAAGGTCTGAACATTGGCGAGTCCTTCGATGTCATTATAACCGGTTTGGACTGTATTATTAATGAGTAATGCACGGGGATTGTACAGATATTTGATCGTTTTTAGCCGAAATTAATATACGTAATTTAATTTAATATTTTCTTTTAAAAAAACCTGATAGTTTTTTTTGTTAATTCAAGTTGTAGAATATTTTCTGAAAATTATTATCTTATGTTAATATTTTTATTAGAGATTTTTTTATTATTGTAGATTATCATCACTCCATTGTTTTATTACATTCATTTCATGAATTAGTTATTTAAAAAAATGAATTTATTTAGAAAAAAGTTTTATACAAGTTTTTCGTAAAAAAATTATTTTTGGTGATAATAATTATAAATAAATGTCTCTTAAGGAATAAAAGTGTTTTAATTTTAGAGAAATAGTTATGAATCAATATTAATATAACGAAACAGTATTTTTAAGAAATATAAGATAATGTACTAAACAAAGAAATTGTTTTCAAATATGTAAGAATTTTGTATTGCAAATGCAAAATAGCGGGTGGAGGATGTTATAATAAGACATAAAATTGATATAAAAATAAAAACAACGTTATACATTCTTAGCACATTTACTGAGTACCAATCCTGTCTATTTAATTTTATATTTATACAATGGATTTCATTTCTACACTTTCCTAAGAATCGATAGTTAAGAAATAGAAAAATAGGTACAGCGAAGTACAAGCTTTTACCATGCCGCTGCACTCAGAAGTTAAGATATCAGCAAGGATGTCCCTTAGTGTCGATTTAAGAAACTATTTATAAACTCTGACTACGGCAGATGTATATTTAACTTCTTTGATGTATAGAAGTCGTAGTATAAAATAATTGCCAAATAAAAATCCATAATCCCGGTTGTTCACTAAGACCCCTTCCTTTCTCTGACTCAAATATGACACCTTTAGTGTCGTGATTATTCCATTTGGTCGCCGTATTTGTTGGTTGGGGAAGACGCGGGCGGTGCGGGGGGCGGCGGTCTGGGTCTCGTCACCGGTGGGGCTAAATTCGGATTCACCCTAAAATGTACGGAAAAAAATAAAATATTTTTTTAAAATCATAAAAATCAAAACTGAATTTTCTAACCTAACCTGTATAAAGGGACACAGTATGTACTACTCTTCCATACATTTGTGTCAACCACGTGTCTCCATTTATAATTTAATTCAAAGGTTCCACATAAAGATATTCTACAACTGCTATAAAAAGCAATAAGGTTAGGTTTACATACTTATAAGGATCTTGTCTGGCGTCGGTGAACTCGCCGCGATTTTTACGTCGCAAGTCGTCATATGAGAGGGACGGACGAGGTGGCACAGTGTCCGGAGGGTTCGCTGGAGCTGCACAAATACAATATTAGTAATTATTCTGGTATAGTTAATAGATCTAACAATGAGATATTATAAATTGTTTGCATCATTTTTGTGACAAAACAATAGAAAAAAAAAACAACAGAAAAATATTATGATAATTTTAAAGGATGAAAACATAATTATTTATATAACTTTCAAATCTCTTCCATGCTAATAAAAACATTAGGTTTAGAGACCAGACCAGACCAAGTTATTTTACTTTACTTTGTTTTATAAATATCAATGCATAGATTCTCAAAATTTTAGCCAGAGTTTAGAAAGCAATTTGATATGTTCAACATGTGTCATATACCTTCAGTATAAGGACGATACGTGTCGTCACTGAACAGGGGACGGTCAATGTCCAGGTCGAGGGAGTTGCCCGGGCCAGCATCAGAGTAGATGTCACTCGGGGAGGCACCGAGCATCGACGTTGACTGATTTGAAGGTGGCGGTGCTATTCTGGAAACATAATTAATATATTCTATTGAGCATTTATATATAGACTTGTCTTGCATCCTCTTTAATCAAAGTATATTTCAGTAAGACTAATAGACTGTCGGTCACCATTGTAGAGATAGTCAAAATTTATCAAAATCAAGAATAATTTTAATTAAAAACAATTATTCACCAACACCATTAAAAAGACTGAATTATAATAAAAAAAATACCCTGTTCTTCCGTCACGCCTGTCCCGTAGTATCTGTCCAATGTAGCTGCCCGGCAAGGCCATCAGTTTCTCAGCGCATGCCTGCTGATACGACAGCTTGCCGATGAAGTAACCCATAACCACTGCCAGAGTCACCTTCGGGAAAGCTCCAAACCTTGGGTTCGGCCTCAAATGACCTGATTTTTAAACAAACATGTGACTTAAAAGTGGAATATATTTCCAATTGGTTTATGTGTTGCTAAATTTATATACTTTGATAACTTATTTATATCATAGGGCTGCAAGTTGTTTAACAGTGGTAGAGCCCGCTTTAACATCTTCGCACGAATTGTCCCGGCTCGCCCGGTAAAATACCACGACCACACAGAAGACAGGCGTGAAGTGGAAGTAATTCCGCGTTTCGTCTGATGAGTGTGCGTCACGGAGGCCTAATTTAGTCCTCTTTTTCTTATAAGGAAAGGATGGGAAGTGAAAGTGGACTTTCCGGATGAGAAATGCATGGAAGGGGAAAACATTTTTTCTTTCTGTGCTTCCTCTCCTCCGGCGATCAAGGGTAGGCAACGCATATTCAATTGCGTATAAGTCTATGAGCAACAATCACTTCGCTATTGCAGCGATTTCAGGTGGCCGCTCGCTCGTTTGCCACCTTATGATATTAAAAAAAAATGAGTATGCAGCCGCTTGAATTCTTTGAAATAATGAAACATTTGCTGCACATCGAAATCTGTAATTACAGATGCATTGCTTATAATTAGGCTTTCCATATGCACAATCATCAAACAAAACAAAATTGCTTCCGATTCATGCAGATCTTTAGGTTGATTGTGGTATGCAGCTTGGCTCAAACAATCCTCCACCAAACCAGAAAACAATTCCTCTGTACTAATGATAATGATAATGGCTTGAACATTATAGTCATTATCCTATTAGCTTATTGAGTCAAATGTGCTATTACATAACACTACTCTGAGAAACTGACCAAGATGAACAAAGGCCTGACAGGTGGGTGACATTTAAATGGCAGGCAAGGTACGAGTTGATCTACTCTTCTCAGATGCAATTTTGTTACAATGGTTTCAAATTCTTTGCTTGTCTATAACATTATTAAAATCTGTCGCGATTTGACATTAAAATGGTATAAAATTTAGAAATAACACTTGAGGAGTCTATTTGTTTTAGATAGAGTCCTAGCAATCTGTACTTGATGGTTAGGACTCTAAACATAAGGTTTCCGTATGAAATTACGAAACCAGAAAAAATCACATGCATGTGTGCACACTGTTCAAGCATATTGTAGGATCATTGTTAATCCTGAATATCAATGAATATTATTTTTACAGTTATATTTAAATAAACGAAATATTTCAATGATTACTATAAAGTTTATTTTAGTTACGTACTTACCATTTTGTACCGCCGCGTAAGTACCGAGCCCTAACATGGTACCTAGCGGCAGCGACCGTTTGAAGAAACTCTCGTTGTTGCATTCCGAAATCACTTTCAACTCTTCCGGCGAAAACTTATACTGCCCCTACCCAATAAATCTCTTGTTATTTTACTCCTTTCGGGACTGCGTATTTCACAATAAATAAATAAACTCATCTTACCGGGGGCACAGGCGCGGCCGGTCGCAGCGTAGACTGCTCATCTTTATTCTCGAAACCAAATGATCTCGGGTCGTTCATAGCAAAATTGTATCAAACACTAAATATTACTTAATCGTATTTTTCATAACCTACTGATAAACCGATTTCGACAATCCTTTGAAGTCAGTTCGTTTGACAGCTGACTTAATATTCCTAAGGTAGGTAAATGTCAAAAGTCAGTTTTGGACGTTTCATATAGATTAAAAATTACAGAGCTGTTATTTACGGATACAGAGACCGAAACCAATAGTCATCATGATTTTATCCTATGCATAATTATATATCCGGCAAAAACGTTTTATACACAGTTATAATACTGAGTAAAGTTTTGATCGCCTCAGATAAATTGGATCCGGTCTGACACTCCATCCCTGATTTGTCACTTATATAAGAGATGAGTCCATTTACCAGTTACCCAGGTTTAAACATAAAACAATAAATTAACTCATTTAGAAACATATAATTTAATAGTGAATAGAAACAAGAATATTTTTAAAAATATAAATAAAAATATTAACCTAATTTTTTTTGTATTTAAACTTTTTTACACATCCAAAATAATAAATAAACGTATAAAAATATTTATTACCATTATATTAGGCTTAAGTAGCCAAAAACAACATTAAAAATTTCGTCAATAAATAGATATTATAATTATAATATGGACTTATCTAATATTTGATTAATATTTTGGATATACATATACTAGCACACACACATCACACACCAGATTGTATCAGTACATTTCTACATTACCACAGTTTTCCCCTGTCGAAATATCGGAACAATAAAATATGCGTTTTTAAAGGATGAGAGAGACGAGCATCTATTTTGTAGGAATGTGTCGGGAGGGGAAACCTACAGCTAGATATGATGCATGTTTTAAAACAGTATAAATAAATGCTACAACACATATTTTTTGAGTCGTAAGTACCTCAACGCTTAGCAGATTCCGAAGCCGTATGATGTTTCCGCATAACATTGCCGAGGTAGCTATTGCCGGGCAAACGACGAAGTTTCGCATCGCAGGTCTTCATGTATGAAAGTCGTCCCACCACATGACCAAATAGAATAGATACCATTACCTTAGGCGCGACGCCGAAGTGCGCATTTTTGCTCAGGTAGCCTAGAATAATAAAACATTCATAGAAGTAAGAACAGTATTAAAAAGATAACAAATAAAAACATAAAACTTTGCAAACATTCTTACTTCCATGAAGTTCCACAGATTCACAAGCTACTGTAAATATCAAGTTCCTCACCATTGCGAATCGCAGCGTATGTAAGCGTTGCGAACAATGTACTGAAAGGCAGGCACCGATGGTAGAAACTCTCCTTGTCGCATTCCTCTAAAGCTTTTATTTCTTCTTGTGTAAACTCATAGTAACGCTGAAAGTAAAATCATATCAATCCCGAATCATAGAATATATAATAGTAGATTTAATTCATGTTACATGCCATATATTATACATTGTTACGATAGGATGACATTAGCAACTATAAAACCAAAAATTCTTTACCAGTGGATGTGTGACATTGTGTACCGGAGGGCAGGTCTTTTTACTGTGTGACTCCGCATAGCAAGAGCAATCTTCCTCGTCTTCTTTTTTTCCCGTCCCACTCATAACGTAATCCTTCCTATTTCATTATTGTATTAAATCACGGATAGCTATTATTTGCAAAACATTATTACGGCTTATTGAATCACTGTGTAATATTTCATTGTCAATTTTGAAACATTTTTTCTCAAGCTGTCAGATTTATTTTCTCCTTTAGAAATTAGACACTCATTTGTTTTAGGTTTGATGTTAATTTTTAATGGTAATCCCTAAAAATGATTTATTAATTTAAATCTAATTCAATACCTAAACTATAGTTAGTTAAGGTACTAATAATATATAAGTTCCAAATATATATAGATACTATGTAGTATATTTTAAATAGTATACTGGCTTGGTTAATGTTTTTTATAAAACGTCTTTTTTTAGTTGTGACATCGATCTGTCAAATTCGTAGTCAAAGTCGATGAACCATGTCGAAAATTTTATTTTTAACGATTTTAAATTTTTTTCACACTGTATCATAATAATCTAACTTTCAGATTATTATATTATACAATATTAATCATAACGTCGGTGAAGCAAAACGCAAAAAAACGCAGTAGTATAAGGGAAGGGAGAGGCGGGAGGGGGTTTTCAATGGTGCTTGTTCTCTTGCCGGTGCTAATAGGTGCAGCCGTTGTGGGCATAGCAAGCGGCGGACAGTACGGCGACTACTCCGCAGCCAAGATGCCTCAATACGCCTCCGACGAGTACCACGAGGCAGGAAGAGAAGCCGCTTCTTCTGGTGACGATTACCAAGATCGATCCCCCGATGTTCCCGCCTCTCCCGATTATAAGTATGAGGAAGAATTAAATTTAAGAACGGTGAACACAAGGAACGATGAAGATTGGCGAAAATCAACGAAAAAAATGCCCAGAGGTCAAAGAGCAGATGTAAACTCTTCTATAAAACAGTTAAACACGCATAATTCAAATTTAAAAAATAATCCTAAATTTAAACAAATCATTCATTCTCGTTCGAAATCTAGGAAAACTGGTAGAAAATATGATTTTAACAGAAATCCTTTACGAAGCGGTCGTATTAGAAGCAATGATATTATTGATAAAGAAGTCGATTATTTAAGTGAAGAGCGATATCAGGACCGCTTTGAGAATAATAAGAAATCAGTTACGAGCGAAAGAATTGTGAGACGGAAGCCGAGAGATCGAGCAGTCAACAGGCCTGAAGTGGAGATTGAAGATCTAGATGACGACGATGAGGACGAAAGTAAAAATGAACAAGAAGAAACAAAGAATTTTGATTACCCGGCGTCAGTAGATTCAATTCTTCAAGAAAGGCTCGGTGAACAATTTGAAGGAAAGGAGGAAAACGTTCATATCCAGCGGCCAACGCCGTTACAGATTGAGGACGATATCCTTGGTCGTCTTGATTCTAAGAAAGAAGATCAGAAAACCGCAGATGAATATCAGGACTATTATGATATGAAACGAGTTAAAAATATTAAGAAGAAAATTACTGTACTTTATCGACGAACCAAAGGTAAGAAATAGTAATTCAAAATAATTATATTATTTAAAAAAAAAAATATTTTTTAAATTTTTATAACTTTCTGGACTGTCTAGTCATTTTCGTCTTTTGACACCGTTTTTATTACTTATTTAAAACACCTAATATTCGATATTGAACGAATTCAATAACTAGTGAATAAGTGGATAGCTTTTGCAAACAACATTTAAGGTGTTATGTTTCAAACGTTGAAGTGGGTGTTATTACTTAAATAGTGATTGGACAGAAGTCTAACGATTGGCTTGTGTGTGCTCAGCGAGGGCGACGGGGTCGACAACGTCGCGGCGGGTGCGAGTGTGGACGTACCGCAGCTCCTACATTGACCGATACGCTACTCCCATAAACGAGGAAGTTCTCTTTAGAGCAACAAGGGTCAGAACCACTAAAAGAAGAAAACCAACAGCAAGAACTATCAAAAAAACTGCTACAACGCACAAGTTAACTCGTACTTCAAAACCCGTTAAACCCAAATCAACAGTCATTACTACATTAACTACGAGTACACAACATACGGAAGCCATTATAAAAACGAGTGCCACAATTAATAAATCTGAAGAAAAAGTACATAATATTAGTGAGTTATCTTTAGCTGAGAAATCTAGATTGTCTATACTAAAAAAGGCGCAGTTAAAAGATGGCGACGTGGAAAAGAGTTTGACGGCGAAACCTCCAGTGCTGCTGCAGGTATCACAGAAGATGCAAACGATGGTAATGTTAGAGCCACAAAACAAAGCGGCTAATGTAGAATTGAAAAGCAAATTGGGTAACTTGATCAGTGAAGATACACCGCAACGGTTGGCGCGCGCTAAAAAGATAATGCGTCGTCGTCTGGTCGCCGGAGCTCGCAATATCCACGACCTCACCGATAACTGGGACGAGTTGGTATGCGACTACCTCGACATGGCAGAACTTGATGGTACAATAAGAACTCACCTCAGCAAGCCTCTATTTCTGATTATATTTATTTTACACTATGTCAAATGATTTTTTTATATTATGATGTGTTTGATAAATAATATTTAATCAAGTTGAAAATCAGTTTTTGAATAAATTATTAAAATATTTCTTAATATTTTTGTCTCTTCACTCTGACTTGTGGATTGAGTATTATGCGAACTAAATGTTGTACACAGCAGAGCACGGCGTGCATCCTTTCAGTATTCATTTGAATTGATCAAGTACTTTTATACCCTGTTGTACAGTCTGGCGAAATTATTAGTAAAGTGGCGAAAATTGGAACTACAAGCGTCGTAAGTTAAGTGGTCGAATAACGTTAGTGGCGACATCCTTTCCTTTGTACAGTTTTCTCTTATTCCCACAATGTTATTCTCTCGAAAACCAATATGTTTTATATGGATGCAAATAACAATAAATCTACGTATTTTTTGGCCGACTTCAAAAAGAAGGAGGTTATCAATTAGTCTGTATGTACTTTTTTTAATGTTAAATTTTGAGACTTCCATTTAAAAACATATTTAAGGCTAAACCATTGTGTAAACTAATGTTTGGGATGGGCACTTAAATGAGTAGCATTTTTATTTTTAATAACAAAGAAATATACTCAATGTTTAAAAAAAGCTTAAGGCACTCATGAAAATTGTATTTTGCAGGTGATGCGACATCGCCTACGGTTAAGTCCGCGCAAGTCGCGGAACGAGAGCTCAGAGCGGTACTAGGTGCTCACAGACAGCGTAAAGAAGTATCCGTTATATCAGACAGTCTTATAGAATCAGAGTTGATGGTAACCAATGCTCCGACCCCTTCCCCATCAATACCTACCTTCCCACCAAACGTTGTCGATTCCCGTTTAACTAACGAATGGAACGACTTTGTTCTTCGCAATAACTCGACTAGATTACATTTTTCGATATATATTGTTTTTTTAGTTATAATAATAAATCTATTACAAAGATATAATATTCACTTACTTGTCTAGTATGTATAAGGAACGCCGTAAATACATCATTTTATTACAAGAGAATCCTGGTGTCGCATTTGCGAATAACATTCGGATTCGCATGGAGTCGACGTTGTTACAGGAATAAAGCGGCGGAAAAATATCTTCAAAAACAATACAATATTACATAATAAAGTTACATTTAGGACTATAATGACATAAATGTAAATATTTTACCTAACCATCAACATTTTTTCCTAGAAAACGAAATGCTTTAACTTGAAAAACGGAACTAAATATTATGTGATAATATAAAGTAAATGTGATTCTTATTTTCCCTTTATAATATTTTAATAGTTGCCACTTTTATTTCGAATACTTTATTATATTTAAAAAAATAAAGTTACATACAATAATGTACACAAACAACACCATCTGTTGGCAGAGTGACAGTGCGCAAATTGTTTGTCAGAGGGCGCCAGAGGTTGCGCTGCAGATTGATTGCGGGCAGCGATGGTGGCGCTGCGCCGTGCGGCGGCGAGTGGCGAGCAAATCGCAGCATTTGATCATTTATTCGCCGCGCGATCCGCGGGCCGGAGGTCGCTCGTGGAGTGTGTGCGGGGCCGGCGTCTCCCCGTTCCGTGTTTTCGTATCGTATCCGCAGCCGGTGTTCTAAGTGATTATTATGAGTGACAGGGACAGGTCGTCGCCTTCCCTCACGGACACGCCGCTGAAGACGTACATAGGTCGACACGACGACGACTACCCCCTAATAAACGGAAACGGTGAGTAGTCCTTTTGGCAGGGCGAGGGTCGAGGTTCGGGCCGGGCGGAACGCGCGTTTCGGCGCGCGCGTCACGTGCTGGGCCGAGCTGGCGGCGTGCGCGGCGCTGCTCGTGCCCGCTCTACACCCGCGACACCCGCGGTACCCTCTACCCGCGGCACGCTGACTCGCACCGCTTTGCCGCATTAAAGACGCGGGTTCGATCGACCCGACGCCAGCCCCTTCCCAAATTTTATACGATATACATACTTATCTACACAATGCAGATAAACCAAATCGACGGCGGAAAAAAATTGAAAAGTTATGACCGTTTCCTTGACTGGTATCTGCGGCGAGGAGTGATGTGAGCGGCGGCGAGGTGGTAGTAGTAGGTGGTGAGCAGGAGAGTTGCCTTGGTGCGGCAGCAGGTGCGGATCGATACGGACTTGGGTCTCAGTTGGGGCAGATTTCGGGGGGTGGTGTTATCGCGGGATTGCGGACAGATCCTTGTCCGCCGCGCCCGCAACCACTTCCGCAACTATAAAATCCCGAAAACCGAAGGCTCAAATGTTAACAGTATCTTATACATTTTTTGTACTGATCTGTTAAAATATTAAACCGAAATGTTTAATATCCAAGCGATATTTTTAACATTTCGGGATAAATTTTCAGCAACATGCTTTATGCATAAATGTCATACCTTGGGATTTTACGGAAAAATACTTCCCGATTGGAAAATGTATTCGATTAAAAAGGATTTTAACAAAAGCAATATTGATTTTATTATCGGATATGTACTTAGTACAAAATTTATTCCTTCACATATATCAGCTGCGCTACTGGACTACTATAATTGAAATAATAAAAACAGATGACATTCACAATGTCGTCTCTTTCCCCTGAATATTATATTAAGAGATTCGGAAATTTCAAAGTTAATAAAAATAGATACAAACTAGTTTTATTTTAAGAGACAATATTATGCTTCAGTTAAGACAATTTAGTGTACAATGTTTCAACGTTTGAACGTTAAACCTCTCGTAAGATTTAAGTGCAAGCCATTACACAGTCAGGCTACAAAATAAATGACACACATACACACAAACAAGTCACTCTCAGTTTGTAGAGTAATAAATTAACACTGATAGGGAGTTGCGTACGCGACGCGCCGCGACGTATGTATTAGTTGAGAAATAATATCATAATGCGGTTCATTTTCGATGCGTAGTTTTCATTAACGGTGGGTATCTTATCTTAATTACTGTGTACGAATGTGATAGGAATAATGGCGGTCAAATTTCGTCGTCTTGAAAAAATAGGTCGCGGCGTGAATACAGTATGGAGCAGTTAGTGGTGGTCCGATGCGCGAGACCTGGCGGTGCGCGGCGCGGATGTACCTCCTGACCCTCAGGCTCGCGGCCCACCGCTGACGCAACTACACAATTAAGAAGGCAATTAATCACTTCCACCCGACGCCCCAGCTAGCTCCCGCTCAATCTTTCCACTCAACACTCGTCAGCGATTTACCGAGGAAAATTTTTAGCTTCACTGCAGTTGGATTCGAATCAAATGCAATTCTTTGCTTTACAAGTCTTAATGTGTATCAATTTATTTAATTTATACATTTCCTGTGCAAATAATTTAGCTCTTTGTAAACGGAGTTCGGTCCTCTTTGACAAATTGATTGTCCGTCGCGCGTTGAAATCTGTACGATAGTTTATTCAGTGGTCGATGTTGATTATAAGAGTGCTCTTAAATTTCGTCAGTCGTGTCATATCACCGGCAATGGACGTCAGAGGCGGATCGTGCGAATGACTTGCGAGTGCCGGATAATTATCATGCGCTTTATCATCGCCGGCTTGATAGTGCCGCAGTATTGCCTCACTCGCTTACAATCTGATTATTTTTTTATGATTTACGGAGTTACTGTTTAGTTAACACCTTCAGTAATATAACGATATTATGAATGGTCACGGATTCGGTTAAACTGAACTAATGTACAAATATATTTTGTACGCACTAGTATTATGTATATAACTTATAAATAATATATTGAATATCAATGTGACTGCACTAAATGCACAATGATGTTGTTGTAAAAACCACAAGTTTACGACTTGGCTGAACGTTAATAAACTATTCCGTTTCTTCATTTCAATCGGTATGTTTGTAAGTGTATCAACGTTGATTGTTCATCTTGGGCCAGTTGGTTCGTCAGTCAGTGCCGCGGAACGTCTGAGCGTTGCGCGGCGCTTGCCAACAACCGACTGGTTTTCGAGCGCGATGATTTGTGTCAAGACTATCAAAAGTTCAGCCGGAGATCTCGTCAAAGTGCGTTCGAGTTGCTGGCACACTGCGTTCCCTCCCTGGCAGTGGCAGCGCCGCGCTATGCCCAATTTAACATCGCTCGCCATCGCCACGGTCGCCCATTCACACCGCGCCGGTAGCACAGTAGCGAAAGCGAACCGGAACCGAAACGGAGATACGAAACTAGCATGGATTTGGTGCGATGCGGAAAACCGATTTGCAAATCGGTACGGAAAACCGAATCTCAACGAAGCCAAGCGGCGTTTTGGTGTGGTACTGTGCCAAAGACGTTACCCTCAGCTATGTTGTATGATGACATTGTAAATATTTCGTCAGTGGAAATCCACGGTTACCCTTGCTATTATATCTATTCCATTGTTTTGAGTTGAAACAAAAGAAATGAATTAACAGCGATCAATGTTAGCAGCGCAATAATCATTTACTTGGCATGTGTAATGACAATTTGGATATGAGTTTCCTTATAACGTCGTGTTAAAAGAAGTTTAATAAAATTAAATATCCTTTTTGCACTTTTGCACTAACTATAATATAATTTAGAAATAATAAAAGTGATATAACACAGCTATGCAATATGTTATAAGTAAAATTCTAATAGAAGAATTGAAAGAATAATTGGCTTGTGTAATATTTTCTAGAATATAAAAAGGAAAAATTACCCAAAGTAATTTATACGTGAGACGTCCTTTGATTATGTTATGCCGAGTGTGTTCCATATAACAGTATACTATGTATGAGGTTTCTTACGTATGATACGAAGAGGTATTGCCTTTGAATGAATGATTATTTTTTAATTCCTCGAACGAAACACGAAACATTGTTAAAAATTTAAAGGCCTATGATTACATAAATCGTTTAAAAATGTATGAGTGCTCGAAGTATAGTGGTGTACAAAGTAAAATGTAAGTAATAACTTAACATTGTAAAATACAGGGAGCTAGTGTAATTTAAAAGATTTTAAAGTGGATCATAAAGATGGAAATTCAAGAGCCGTGTCGACTTTCAGAGTTTCCTTGTATTTTAGTACGCGGTTGCTATTGAGTTTACGATCGTGAAAAACTTGTAAATATGCAAACGGTTCGGAACTCAAAGGCTTTTCCACAAAGTGACGAGTCGTGGCCGTCCTAGAGGAAATGAAAATGCATACATAGATAAAATAGAAACTGTAGACATGTAAGGCAAGAGTTGCTTGTCGCACTGGTGGAAAATAGATTTAGCGAGCTCCAGCCTGCCCGGTATTGACGGCAACAGCGTTCAGTTTCATCCGATTACGGATCATTTCCGGTGCATTTTACAGCATTACCATTTCCTTTAGATGCATTTCCTCGATACTGCCTTTCCTGAGATCTGTGAGTCTTCGTCTAAGCTGATCATTTATGTCTTACTAAACATTTGAATCTGTTTATTGAAAGATATAACACATACGTATAATTTATTATCACGCGGTCGAATACAATTCAAACTCAATGAGTTTATATTTGACTAGGTATGTTGTTTCACTATGAATTAAAATACGATGATGTTTAAAATGAATGTTTCCAATCTTGTTGGTTGATGTGTAAACGCGCGGGCGGTGCTGAAACTTTATAATTTGATAATTTTCACGTGTGAACAAATTTAAGCCTATTACGTTGCTTGTATAACAAAAAGGCACCGACTACTTTCAGCATGTTGTTATTTACAATATTGCCGTGTATGGAAATTTTCTACGTCAATTAACGCGTTGGATTTTTATAATTAACTATACAAATTATACTTGCGAGATTTAATTTTAAAATCCATTTCAATGGAAATGAGACAAAACCAAGAAATGTTATGAAAAATAAATTAAAAAAGTACTTCTTACAAACGAAACTAACTTACCTTTCTTACATTATTCAATGTTTATTAGAAACTTAAGCTTAAGTAAAAGAGTAAGTTGCCATCAAACTGCTATGCAGTTTGGCAACTTTAATTAAATTTGTGTCTTGTATAGTTTCTTGGTAAAGAAATCAATAAAAAAATATATCTAGTCCCTTTTTTAAAGGACAGAATAGATGAATTCAAAGAGTGATAACAAAGTTTATTAGTTACATGTTTATTAGTACATTTAGTCATTTTTATGTCCGTTGGCGCATTAATTATGTTTTGTAACGTATGTTCATTTATATCACAAACTTTTTTAAAATTTTCCGTATCCGCAGTTCAGATCGGATGAACTTGAAACAAATGGAAATTCGTAAAAATTGTATAAACCGTATAAAAATATAGGACGCTTGAAGTGGCAAAATCTGATTACGTAGTATCTATTTTATAGCTATACATTTTCCTGCTTATAATTTGCATAGTAAAAAATAAAAGTCGTATAACTCGATATCTAAGCGCCTTGTATAGTCGAAGACATTTATTTCCTGCCCACTTTGGTGTAATGTCATTTTACGCTCACGATGCAATTAGGTCGAAAACCTGTCACAGCACAACGTTACGTGCAAGAATTATAGCTCTTACGGTAGAATTTGACTTCCGTGGCACTTGAATTAATACATATTGTTATCTCTGTTTCGCCAAAGAGAATGAAAGGGATGACAATACAAGCGTCACCTCAGTCGAATTCTATAGCACGGTGACAGTTTTTAATTGGGAAGCGAATTTAATTCTCTGACTGTACACTCATTGTTTTTACGTTCACGTTCGTGTTGCGCAAAAGGCACGAAACAA